GTAATTACAGTAGGGTAACAAATTTCGGGACCAAATTTCTCACACCAAAACATGAAAAAAATTTCATATGGACATATAGGCGAAATAAAAGAATATTTATTACTTTATTTAATATGTGACTTATTTTCAATTTTTGATTATAATAAATGTTCGAAGTGTCTCCCATTTGATTCAATACACGCTTGGACACGGATCATGAACTGTCGCACTCTTTCCCGGGACAATTGGAAATAGTGTCACAAAACATCAAAGCTTTGGCGTAGCATATTTTCATTGGCGAAAACTAAAGATTTCAAGTATCCCTGCAAATAACAATCTAGAGGATTTAGATCGGGTGATCGTGAAGGCCATTCAATTGGTCCTACAAATATTTTTTGCTTTATCTTAGTAACAGTGGATTTGTGAACAATGGTGTATAAGAACTTTTTTTCATGTTTAATGTAGAGAGCTCGTCTCCGAAGTTTGTTACCTTATTTTAGTTACAGCCTATATATAATCAATTATTTACTTATTTACAATCATTTTTTATTATACTTTACACATAATTTATAATTATTTAATAAAAAAACTTATATTAAAAAGAAGAATTGACGTAATAAACTATCTATATTAAGAAGTATTTCTGCATTTAATTTAAGATATAATAAATTGCAACTTAGTATAATTTCGATAATTCCAACCTACATTTTGCTTTTTCCTCTTTTCCAGCCAGTTGTCGCTCTAAAGCCCAAACGTAATTTCTTATTATAATGATTTCTGTTGCTTTGTGAAGTGATAAAAGTCACATTCCCTGAAGGTTACTGTCGCGAACTAAAACCCGAGAGACAGTAGTACACTTTTCCCCGCATATATTTCTTGTTGGAATTTTCCCTGAAAAAACTATTCTTTGTCTGTAATTCGAAAGAAAATTTATTCCATATGGTTGGTGAATACTCAAGAAAGCTGCTTTTACGTTTTTTCTCTCATATGTTCCTTACATTCTTTCGTTCATTTGCTTGTAAAAATTTTAATATTAATAATTTTAAAGATTTCAAAGTGTAATATTTCCTATTTTCTCTAATAGCCTATGTCACTTGTAATTAAAATCTATAAAAATTTTTTTAGAATCACTACTATAATATTAAAAATATATGCAATTAAAAAGCTTAAATTAAAATTCTGAGAGAAAAAGAGTAAAATTTAATTTTATTATCTAATCAAATGCTTGAGATTAATCATTTAGTCGTTAGAATAGAGAATATTTAATGTTATTTTATTTTGTTTTACATATTATAATATACGTATATAGAAGTAAGGCCCTTATTATGAGATACCGAGTTCATTTTGGGTAAATGCTAAGTCTATGAGCAGAATTAAAAAAAATAATAGGTATATTGAAGGAATTTAATAAGCTTTAAGATAATGTTATATAAAATTTAATTATTTAAATTCCATTTTTTTTTAAATTAAGGAAATGTAAAAAGTGAACAAAAAAATCACAAAAAACTGCGCTCCTAATATGCCCCGAGAAATCGATAATAAAACGCAAAGTACATCAGTATTGTA